GCGCCGCCCTGAGCCCAGGGGCGACCGGGCGGAGGGCAGGGCAGGGCAGGCTATGGGCGCCCGGGCGGAGGGCTTCACTTCTGGTGCAGCTGCATCCAGGCCCCAGCACACCTGGGCTGCTCACTGCACTGTGAGCGCTGCAGACTCCAAACCCCTAGAACGCGTTAGCCCCGCTGGCGCAGGAAGCGGAGGGTGGCGGCTCTTACCTGCCCGCTTCCGCCTGCTGCGTGGTAACCGTGGTAACGTGAGCACGTCCTCAGACCTACTCAGGCTCAGATACTGAGTTTGTATCCAGGGACAGGCACGAAGGGTGGGGGCCAGGCGTTTTCCTCTCGGTACTGGGGATAGAACCCAGGGGCTCTATCCACAGGCCCCCCCCCCCGTTTTTGTTTTGATTTTGAGATGAGGTCTTGCTAAGTTGCCTGGTGTTGCGAGCCGCGACGTCAGGATCCTGCTAGCAGGTCCTAAACCTGAAAGGACGAGGACAGAGAGACGGGAGGCACTTTTCTTCTCATGGTCCTTGCTTTACTACCGAACCTCTCCTTTTATACTCTCCAGCTGGGCGGCTCCAAGAGAGTACCACCCACACATTCCGGAAGGAAACCCTTAAACAGATCAGACCACCAGTAAACCGTTACATTTGCTAGGCAACAGATCAGACCACCAGTTGAACTAGGCCGTTGCTATGGGTGACGGCACGTCCACATTGCTCAGGTGAATCACAGGTCAATATGGCTGAGCTCATGTCGAGTTCCTTTACGATGCTCTCCATAATTCCCCCGTTTTTCTTATGTCAGTGAGCCCCTGCAGAGGGCGCCAGACATACGCCAAGGAGCTCCTGTCTTAGGTGGCAGGGATGTCCTTTCTCCTTACCCGTCATCAGCAAAGAGGGCTTATGTCCCTCTTGCCTGTCTTAGGTTGGTAGAAAGGAGGCCCTGACCTTACCTGTCTCTGGATACTCCACGGAGAGGGAATTATGCGCAATGGGCTTGCGCCAAATAGATGGCCACCCGGGATGCATCATCCTCTACTGAAGCCTGTACAGCCATAGCAAGTCGTCCATGACGAAACACAAAAGATTGACACATTCCTGTCATCCTGCGACACATACAACAACCACAAATACAAAGAACCATCAAAACTACAATGATCGCCAATACAGGAGCAAACACCACAGAAAAATACTGTTCAGCGGCAGTACCGAAATGTTGGCCTGAGGAAAACGTGAATCTGCTCACCAAAGTCCCACAGACAAGCCTAAGTCCATGGAATATTCGAGTGACCAGTCCAAAAACCCTTGAGATGTCTTATTAAATCACCAGTCCCATTAAATCCTTGTTCTGGACAATAAAGTCTCCGCTTGTGCACCAAGACACATCCTGGAGTTCTCTCTGCTGCTCCAGTGTTGGGGTCCCAATCCCGTCTCCTCAGTGGAAACCCAGATTCAAGCTGTTCGGGGATAGTGGTGGGTCTCTAAATGTACCTGTAACCATAAGTAGGTGGAGCAGAAGAGAGGAGAATACCTGGACCAAAAGGTTATTATCATAAACAATATGCTGGAAAACCTGCATGGTCAAACAATATGAATATATTTGTATACCAGAAAAGTAGCAATAATATGAATTCTTATATCCTGTAATGTAGCTTTGTATTAACAGGATCCTCCCCCCTTTCTTTTTTTTTTTTTAAACAGAAAATAGTACATTTTGAAGATAACCATCAGAAACATGCTACAATAACATTTCTACAATTCAGACCTTTGATAACCAACAAAACATTCCCTACAACAAGATATATCTATATATCTATATACCTATATTCAACAAGATATATATTTTTATAAGGCTATGAAAATTATTTTGGTGGCTCCCATTAGTGAATAAAGATCAGAATAAATTTTCTGAGCAGCTGCTTCTTTATTCACCAACAGGAGCGTATCCAAACTTAAAGGTTATATTTAATTATCTTTTAAGTTTTTTATTTGATCCTATGAAGCCAGGTTGTAGAAATCAACAATCCACTTGCATTTGACGTCATTCTGATCAAAAACATACAAACATCTTTGAACACTTAAGACAGACAAACATATAAGACAATTTTAACGAGTGCCCTCAGATGGTTTTGGCCAACTGAACTATAAAATCTTTTAGTTATGACTAGTCAAAATTTTTGCAGGTCAAAATTAACAGCGATCTCTTGTAGAATTAGGGTTAAAGGAATGAGTACTCTTCTTGACTATAATCCATTATGTAGAGAATTCTGAAAGAGTGTACACAACACGAGCCTCTATTGATATTTTCCATTTGGTCAATTTATCTAACTAAAAAATATAGGAAAACAAGTCAATACAGGTAGTCCCCCATATGACAGATAAAATACTATCACCCCAAAAATACAATTAGATAGGGAATAATTATCTTTCTGATGCTAAAAAGCATCACTAAAAATCACTAAAAAGCCCTATACCCCTACAAATCTCTAAAACAATAACCAATATGAGAAAAAACAAGTCAAGAGGAGATTGGGTAACTAAAGCTGAGCAATAGCCCATGGAAAGGCAGGAAGAATTAGCTCTTAGGGGGAGCCTTCACAATCTTTATCTTCAAGGGATTAACAGAGTCTGTAACAACATCCCACGAAATAACACCGGAGGGTTGTCTTTGGTCCTTTTCATGGCTTGCGTTAATCTGTTTGATAAAATGCTCCGGGATCCACCGTGGTTGATCAGCGTCCTGCGGAAAGACACAAGCAAAACCTCTCCCCCAATGGAGTAGGGGGTCAGGCCCTCTCCACTGTCCTGTAAGGACATCTTTCCAAAGCACTAGTGCTTTTCGAGATTGATATGATCCCCAGTGGCGGGTTGCTCGAGTGTTACCCGCATCATCCAAAAGAAGGAAATTTATAACAAATAAGGCATGATATAATCTATGCATGGGTGAATAGCTGCCAGAGAGGGGATTCCCCCCTAACTTTTCTAAGGTGATTTTTAAGGTACGGTGGGAACGTTCAACCAAAGCTTGTCCCTGAGGATTATAGGGAATTCCAGTGGAATGCGAAATCTGCAATGTGGAGAGGAAAGCGCGGAAGCCAGTGCTAGAATACGCTGGTCCATTATCCGTCTTAATGGCAGGAGGCTTGCCCATATAGGCAAAGGCATGAAGCAAATGTGCAATAACACCTTTGAGGGCTTCTCCTGTTCTGGGAGTGGCACAAATCATTCCCGAAAAGGTATCCATTGTTACATGGAGAAACTTGGAACGGCCAAAAATGGGGCAGTGCGTTACGTCCATCTGCCATAGGGCACTGGCTCGAAGGCCACGAGGATTGACCCCCAAGGAAGGGACAGGTAAATGTACTACGCAATTTCGGCATTCTTTAACTATGGCTCAGGCTTGTTCTCCGGTGATTTGAAACATACATGATGTAGGCTATGAAACTGGGCCGCTGCTTTTAGGGGCGGACTGATAAGGTTAACAGGGAACACACTTGTGAGTGCGTCTGCCCTTGCATTTCCTTCAGCAAGGGGTCCAGGAAGCCCCAAATGTGCCCATAGATGATGAATCGAAAAGGGGGTGGAACGCCCACGAATGCAATTTTGTAGGCCCTCAAACAATGTTAAAAGATCTCCTTTTGCTAAAATTTTTCCTGCTGTCTCTAACTTAGGCACACCTTGGGATACATAGATGCTATCTGTATAAATATTTATGGGTTGAGAATAGTGGGTTAATGCTAGAAGGACTGCGCTCAATTCAACCATTTGTGCAGAAGCATAAGGCACCTTAACTGCCCAGGCCTCATGAGGTGAAACTATTGCAGCTGTCCCTTTACGGGAGCCATCTGTGAAGACTGTAAGGGCTCCTTTAATTATCTTAGGGGAAGTCCATTGGGGGAAAATGAACCTATGCCTAGTTGCAAACTGTATGAGTTAGTCTGATGGAGGATGGTTATCAATGTCACCTGAAAAATCTAGGAAGCTAAGGAACCAGAAGGTGCTACTCTGGTCCAAGTACAATCTTTGGTTTTTATCATAGGGAATCACAATCCTGTCGGGCTCTTTACCAAAGATGGTGACAGCGGCCTTCCTTCCAATCTGACATAATTGAGCCACCATCTCATGGTAAGGTTTGATGACTTTTAGGTGAGCATGAGGTAGATGAATCCAATAAAGAGGTCTTTTTTGCATTAATACTCCCGTAGGCCAATCAGGGGATTCACAAATAATTAGGAGAAGCGGGAGTCCTGGTTCATAATAAGATATGAATTGTTCCTCTATGGCTTGTTCCACTATTTAGAGAGCAAAACGGGCTTCCTCAGTTAGAGTCCTGGGGGAAAGAGGGCTCACATCCCCCTCTAACAGTTGGAATAAGGGAGACAACTGATGAGTAGAAATCTTTAACCAAGGACGCAACCAATTAATATCTCCCAAAAGAGTCTGAAGATCGTGGAGAGTCACATGTATTTTTAATTTTTTGGAAATGATTTTGTCTGTATCTAATTGAAAGCCCAAATATTGTATAGGCCTTACTTTTTGTACCTTTTCAGGGGCTATGATAAGTCCCCATCTTTTTAAACTATCAGACAACTGAGCAAAGGCTTGTATTATAAAATCCGAATTGGAACCAGCTAATAAAATATCATCCATATAATGATAACACAAAACAGAGGTAGCTAAATTGGCTTGTTTTATGGCTTGCTGTACAAAATGTTGACACAAGGTGGGGCTATTGGCCATACCCTGGGGAAGCACTTTCCATTGATATTGGGTAAAGGGTTCAGAAAAATTTATGCTAGGAACACTAAATGCAAAATATTTTCGGTCCTCAGGATAGAGAGGAATAGAAAAGAAACAATCTTTAAGATCTATGACTATTAAAGAATAATCAGCAGGGATGGCCGCCGGGCAAGGGAGGCCTGGTTGTAATGATCCCATGATGACCATTCTTTTGTTAACCTCTCTCAGATCCTGTAGGAGGCGCCATTTTCCTGATTTCTTCCTAATAACATAAATAGGAGTATTCCAGGCCGAGAATGATTCTTCTATATGTCCCGCGTCCAATTGTTCCTGCACTAAACATTGGGCGGCTTTTAGTTTTTCCTGAGTTAAGGGCCATTGGTCCACCCATACTGGTGGGCCCTTGGTTCCCGTTTTTTGGCTGGTTGGGAAAGGATGTATTTGGACCTAGAAAGGTGCCATCTTTTGCAAAAAGCGAACGGCACTCTTTAGGTGAATGGAGACCCTTTTGACAACGGGAGCAAAGCACAGGTCTGGAAATTTGGCTCCTGGAGGGGCACTCCCTTTGCATGTGACCTGTTTGGTGACAAGCATAGCAGACAGGCGGTGCGCGACCAGGAGGAGCAGGCCGTTTAGGGCCTCCTCTTGCATTCTGAGTCCTATGTAAGGACTGATAAAATGTTTGGAATGTGCCTCCTTCTCGTGCAGCGCGCTGTGCTGCAGCCTGAGCCCAGGCCACAGTCACTTGTCCTCCCACATCCGCACAAAGCCGAATATAACCATCTAAGTCAGTTTTATTTTTCCAGGGTCTGAGGACAGGCTTACACCATTTATTGGCATTCTCATAAGCAAGCTGTGTAACAAAGGGTAGCCCCGTCTGTGCATCAGGAAATATCTTCCCTGCTCCATCTAGCAACCTATGAACAAATTCAGAATAAGGTTCATCTGGCCCCTGCCTGATATTACTGAGACTAGTGCTAAGATCGTCCGCCGATGGAAGCTGTTTCCATGCTCGGCGCGCACAATTAGCGATCTGTTCATAAACTGGTGGTGTATAATTAACCTGGGCTTGCATGCTTTCGAACAATCCTTCTCCCATAAGCATGTCATAATTTGCCAAGGCAGCTCCGGCATTAGCATTGCGGATGGCAGCCGCCTTGCATTGCTCAGAGTAATAGGATTTCCACAGGAGGAAATCTCCCCCTGAAAGAACTGCGCGGCAGACCGCAATCCAGTCACTTGGTGTTAGCCAGGATCCACTAATGGAGTCCAGGATAGCACAAGTGAAAGGAGCTGCAGTGCCATACTGATTTACAGCAGTTTTTAATTCTTTCACCAATTTAAACTCAAGAGGGCGATGTTCTCTAATCGGCCCTTGGGGTCCCTCTACTTGAACGACGGGGAATAGTCTAAAGACTTCCTCCCCTTGTGCTGCGGCGCATTTGAGAGCCTCTTGTAAAGGAGATGCTATGCCTTGAGACCCTTCAGATGTTATGGGGTCTTTACCATTGGGCTCATTGGTAGGCCTGGCCTCTGAGGCACGAAGAGACGCAAGTCTGCTCGAGAGGCATGAAATCTGCCGCCTCAGCTGAAGTTCCTCACTGAGCTCCTGATTAATAGTACGTAACTGAGCCAGGTTTGCCTCCCTCTGAGTGGGGGGCGGCGCAGAAGGCGGTGGACACTCAAGTGTTTTTTGAAAGATCTCAAGACTAGGATATAGCGCTGCGGGAGGTCCTCCGGAATCTGGAGGCTCGGGGCGCTCAGGTGAAGGAGGATATTCTCTAGCGTCTTTTTCTGGACCCGATTCAGGGGGCTCTGAAGTCTGAGAGCGCTCCTCTCTAATTTGTTCTAACCCTTCGTGCACCTCGTCTAAGGCTTCCAAGATTTCCTTTTTGGTCGGGGTCCTGAGAGCTGCGTTTAACAAAGCCCAATAAAAAGGAGCCCCTTCTGGAAAACGATCGGGCTCAGCCACAAGGGCTTCATTCAACTGTTTTCCAACTCTCTCCCATACTTCAGCGTTTATTTCTGCCTCATCACACAGCCATGGACAAACTGTGTCCAGAATTTTAACAAAGGCCTCTAAGTGTGCCCTCTCAACTGTTACTCCTTGTGCCTTCAATAGGCTCTGACTTGAATTCGCTAGATAATTTCTGGATTCTGATTGTCCCATAATTAACAATTTCTAACTTATAAAATCTTTCTAACTTATAAAATCTTCCCACGGACTTGACACCCTCTACCTTCTTTCACTTTTTCTTTCGCAAAGTGAGCGGTAGACTTACTGCGAGGATCAGGCGCAGCGGTCAGTCCTCCGGAGCACCGTCGCTGCCTTCAACCTGGGTCCGGGATTACGTATCCTCATCAACTTTCAGGTCCCTGTTCGGGCGGCACTTGTCGCGAGCCACGACGTCAGGATCCTGCCAGCAGGTCCTAAACCTGAAAGGACGAGGACAGAGAGACGGGAGGCACTTTTCTTCTCATGGTCCTTGCTTTATTACCGAACCTCTCCTTTTATACTCTCCAGCTGGGCGGCTGCAAGAGCGTACCACCCACACATTCCGGAAGGAAACCCTTAAACAGATCAGACCACCAGTAAACCGTTACATTTGCTAGGCAACAGATCAGACCACCAGTTGAACTAGGCCGTTGCTATGGGCCACGGCACGTCCACACTGCTCGGGTGAATCACAAGTCAATGTGGCTGTGCTCATGTCGTGTTCCTTTACGATGCTCTCCAGCCTGGGGTAAGTTTGAACTTGCATTATCCTTCTTCAGCATTCCGAGGTGGGCTTACACTGTGAAGGCCCTGGGTTCAACCCCCAGTACCACACAAAACAAAACAAACAAAAAAATACGAGGACTTTTTTTTTTGTATTGAAAATCTTACATGACTACATCACTCAACTTTGTTAATTTCGCTTGTTTGTTTGTTTGGTAACAGGCATTAGAACTCGGGTCCTTGTGCTTGCAAGGCAAGCGGCGGAACCACTGAACTAAATCCCCGGCCAACTTTGTTAATTTCTGTTCTAACAGAAGTGGGTTGTTTTTTTTTTTTTTGGTTCTGAGGATCTAACTCGGGGCCTTGGGCTTGTGAAGCAGGCAGTGGAACGAACCACTGAGCTAAATCCCCGGCCCTCTAATAGAAGTTTTAGGTTGATTTTCTTGGATTTTGTACTCAAGTGATTAATAGCTGAGCTATATCCCTACTTTTTTATCTTGAGGCAGGGTCATGATTATTGTTTAATTTTCAGATCACTTGTGCTGACCTGAAGTTACATAAATTAACAGCAGTTACTTGGGACTTGGGGCTTTGGTCAAAGAACAGCTCGCCCCATGCCTTGTGACGTTGCCCAGGCTGGCCTGGGGCTCCTGGGTCAAGCCGTCCTCCTGCCTCAGCCTCCCCAGAAACTGGACTACAGGCACTTGCCGCTATGAAAAATGTTTTCATCCTCGCCCTCCCTTCCCCTCCTGCAGCTGGGGCCGCGTGGAAGACCTTCACTGTGGAAGGGTGCTTCAGAAGGGTGATCTCTCACATTATTTACCGAGACTCAGGGCGAGGCGGGGCTGGGGAGCAGAGGCCGCGTCCACGGGCGCGTGCGGGGACGGCCCTGTC